AAAATATATTACTTGAATTTCTCATCCATTGTTGGTAAGAACACAAAATGGTAGAGTCCCTTGAGGTTAATTTAGCAATCTTGTACTAAGGTGAATCAACTCTTTTTTACATAATCCCAAAATAGCAATCCTGTGTGCTTACTAATCATTTGAAAACACATGTCCACATATCAAGCACTTGTAAGTAAGTGATATATAGCTTTGTTTACAATTACAAAATAAGGAAGCAATGTAGATATTCTCCAGTAGGCAAAGAGCTCAATACATGAGATATATTTACAGAATGTATACTATTGAATCATAAAATAAACACTTATGGGGCCTGGGGATTTAACTCAGCAGCATAAGCACCTTCCTTGCAAGCAGCCAGTCGTGAGTTCGATCCCTGGTACCGATAAAAATGAAAAAGATTAAAAAAAAAAAAAAACACTTATGCAAGAACATAGATGACAAGTGTTAAATGCATACTGATAAACAAAAACACAGAGTTAAAGGATAATATACTGCCCAATTCTACTTAAATGATATTTTGAAGAGACAAATTTGTATAGAAAATAAACATAACACTGATTTCTATGACTTTGGGAAAAGGAATTATGATCCTTCTGCCTATTGTCTTGTGGTTAGTTCTGCAAGGCATCTGCATTTGACAGCTTTTGTCACACAAATTGTTCGGCAAAGTACTAAGAACTTCCACGTTACTCATATCTTCCTGACTAAGACTCATAGAAAGCAGTGTAGTTAAAGAATACAGTTCTCTACAGAAAGGAACAGGCCATGGTTTTCCTACTTAGTGATCAAGAAATAAATAGGTAAGAATTTATGTGAACCTATTTTGAAAGTTCAAGGTTCCATCTTGACCATTCCTGAAAATAATGTACCCTTTTTCCCTAATAGCAAATGGAGATCATCTAGCCTATAATCTACACACAGGGAGTTACCATTGTTTGAATGTGTTCCCCAAACCACCAATGTTGAAATTTTAACTCTTCAAAGCATCACTGGGACCTATTGGAAGGTATCTGGATCACTATGATAGGACCATCCTGAAGAAATCAGTGTCTTTGTATAAGATAAATGTCTACTTACTACCGGAGTTTGACTCCCTTTCTTCTCTTCCAAAAAAGCCCACTTCCTCTTCCACTTTCTGTTATGAGTGGAGGTTATATGAGCCTCTTAACTACTGTAGAGATCTGAACTTTAACTTCCATGTCCCAAGAAACGTTAGCCAAAATGAACCTTTTGCCTTCATAGGTCAACCAGCTTCAGTTATTCAGTTATCATAAACCAAAAATGGAATAAGACACCTAAGTGATTTCAATTTACTTATAGTTAAGTTTTATAAAATTATCTTTTATCTCTCACTTAACTGATGCCAGGGTACGAGGAGTACATGATTGGAAAAACAACCAACAACACATGAAAATATGGCTACTGGAATGGACACTCTGAGCATGATTATAGTGAAGTAGAGAAAAAACTATCACCTAAATGGAGAACATCTTAGATAGATCTCACAAAACATGAATATTAATGAATCTTGATGTTATAACAGCACCAGAAGTCTTTTTCTAGAAGAAAACATTTCATTTAGCTGTCTCAAGCTGCTTTGAGAGCCTTAGGCTTAGCTGACTGTTAGGTATGACATTCCTTGCCAGGTGGCTCTATCAGACACCCAGAAATTAAGAAGTGCTGCTCCAACACCTATTTCTCCGCTCACCCATTCAAGCCAGAACGAACACCCAGTAACATCCTCCTCATTCTATTCTGAGTCGTTAGAATGGACTAACAATTGTACACTAATGATAGCTTGAAGAACTAGACAATTTGGATTAACTTCATTTAGTTCACAGTCCAAGTCAAGTTACTGAATTGGGAACTCTAAACTAAAATGCTCAGCAGGAAAGTGATGTTGGAAGCTACACTAACCTATAATCTGAATGATTATGTGTATCTTAGGTGCATTCCTTGGAAATTATAAAGATTTTCTTTACACTAATGGAAATATAATCATGCATTGTCAATCTATGCTGATTTCTCTGGTGATACACTTTAAAGTAGTTTCCTTTTTAATGTATTTTTTGTTTGTAAAGTATAGACCATTGGGGGAGATCATTTATATAAAATAAAAATTGCTGATCTTTTGGGAAATACTATTCTTGAGACTCATAGTCTCATGAGACTTCTTCATTATCTTTGAATATTGTCATTAGAGTAAAGGTACAGAAAGCACAAACACTCCAGAAGGCGAGGATTGACTGATTTTATATGGCATTGAGGGCAATCCATTGAAGAGGTTGAAATATCCAATGAAATAAATTATAGTAAATGGAGGAAAAATTTTTACGCTAGTTTAACTGCAAATAATGAGACAATAAAGCCACTTCCCAGAGTGTCAGTTATTTGTGAGATAAAAACAACCAAAGACTGTGGCTGTAGGATGACAAATGTTGAGGTAGGAATGCAGTTTCTATGTGGTCAAAACAGTGTTGTGGTAAAAGAGTTAAGTAGAGTAAGTGATTTTTCTCTATATAAACATAGGCCCGTGCCTTTTTAGGGCAGATGCATGATGCATACACTTGTATATTAAGTTTTTGGGGACATTCTTCTTTAAGATGAAAGTAATTAATATTTGTAAATTTTAAAGACAATATTTTCTACTAGATCTATTGTAACTTACATTTGTTCTCTTTTTTTTCCAATAGATCATTATCCTTTTTTTTCTTCTGTCTCTAGATTTTGATTCGGTAAATAATGTGAAAGAAAATCATGGAATACCAAGATAATTTAGATTTGCAAAGCCTTTTCTTTCGTAAGTTTGTCGAATAGTGTACCTAACACAACTAAGCCAATTGTGTTTGTATTCCGGACTTATAATGTAAATTTTATTTTTTACACTGTGTTTTGTGGGAAAGTTTATCTGTGATTCTTGTGGTTGAACAAAAGAATCATTGAATGTGATAAATTTCTGCTTTACATATTTTAGACACGGACATTTCTATAGTTTCTGTCATTAGGTTTGTTTGTGTAAATGAGGACAATTTTATAAGGATTTCTACAAAATTATCTGAATGTGAAAGGAATGTTGATTAAAACTATCAGTGATTTCTTTTCTCTCATGAATTACTGTTATTGATGCACATGGACTTAACCAAAGAAATTTACTCTTTTTTTAAAGACACTACTGATTTAATTTCTCTTTAAGCTGTTCTGTCTTCTAGGAATACCTTGTCTTATTTTTTCATCTTTGAAACCTATTTTATAATCTAAAGTTCCTGTTGAAAACTTCTCAAAAAATTATTTGAAATGAATCCCTCCTTCCTTCATTCCTTCTTTCATCTATTCCTTTCTCTCAGTACTTGGAATGAGTCCCAAGGGCTTCAAAATGACCTACATCTATTTATCATTGTTTTAAAATTTAACACAGGGTCTGTCCAAGTTAGCAAGTTTCTAGCCAGGCTGGGCTTCTGCCTCAACCTCCCAGAGTGCTGAGATCATAACTGTGTGCACTAAGTCCATACAGTTTCTCTGTATGCTTAGTAATAATTTGGTTTTTCAGGTTGCAAATAATTTTGTTGAAATCTCAGAGATAGAAAGCATTGTTTTATAATGCCCATCATTAAATGATAATCACTTGGTGTTTGATGATGTTGTTATCAAGATAAGAAATTTTCCATTAGAGACATCATTTATCTTTGGTACTACAGCTCCAACATATTATTTATGTCTAAATTTTGCTTTCTCAAATTTAAATTCTGCACAGTCTGAGAAATGTGCACAATTTAAAGAAGAAATATCTATGTGTTACTATCTTAATATCTATTTAACTGCATGTTATGTGGATGCTTGGATATTCTCAGAACAGAGAAAGCAAGCCACCTAAAATTGTGCCAATGCTATTCTGCAATGCACCATGTATTTCAAACCTCACAAAAAGTCATTTGTAGCCAAAAAATTAGAAACTGATCATGTTTCAATCTTTATACCCAATGATGCAAAAGGTACCTAAAAAAACTAGAAAAATATGAAAACAAATGTTATTACTGTACTTTTTCCCTTTACAATATATACTTCCTAATTGATGCATATATAAGCACATTTTAAATTTTTCAATTAAGCTCATTATCCTACATCTAAGAGTCCTACTTATCTCTCGAGGATTGTATGCAGCTTTATCTTTGCTTCCTCCACATCATACAAGTTTCTCAAACTATATTTATGTATCTCTCTTTATGTTGGTATCTCTGTATTGTACCAAACCTTACTTAGTCCATTCTATCAGCCAAAACCTCAAAAGAAAGCTGCAGTGTATGAGTATACCCACTGACAGTCATCAGACTCCTTTGTCATCTGTTTTTGTGGTACAGGTGGAAGAAGTAATGTGACAACAGAGATTGAATCAGTGAAAATATTAATAAAAAGAATAAATGAAATTACATCGTATGCTTGGTTGTCACTAACTTGACATTGAATCTCAACCAGGAAATTACATGAGATGAAAATGAGGGATTTCAACTTCATTAGTTGAGTAAAAGGGTAGTTATTCTACCCTGTGTGTTAAGCAGGACTGATTGTCTGTGTGGCTGTATAAGTGGTTGCTGTATTCTGAATGCACGATATGTATTGATAGCTATCCAATAACAACTCTCACTTGCTTTTCTATTAGAAATCTCTATGGTTTTCTTCAAGTATTTTAATTGAACCTGAAAATGATACATCATAACCACTGTTATGTATCATCAAGAAAGAAAAATATTTTCCTGTTTGCAAGTAACTTTAATTTCCCTCTAATTTTTCAATAAATTTTTCATGTTTTCATAAAACACAGATCATTTTCTAGTAGAATTACAAATTAATATGTTGTGTTGTCCAATGACTAGGAAAATACAAATTTTTTCCTAAGAGACCACTCTATTATTGTTAACACTGACTTCCACCCTAGTTATCACTGGCATTTTTCTGTATGTATTTGTTACTTGTTTTTCTATTCAGACCTTATAAATTCAAATAACATAATGGGAAACCATACAAGAGTGACAATGTTCATCTTGGCAGGCTTGACTGAAGACCCAGAATTGAAAGTTGTGTTGTTTGTCTTCCTGCTGCTAACCTATTTGCTCAGCATCACAGGCAATCTCATAATCATCACACTCACCCTGGTGGACATTCATCTAAATACTCCTATGTGTTTTTTCCTTAGGAATTTTTCTTTCTTAGAAATTTCCTACACTACCACATGCATACCTAAGTTTCTAGTTATTATGGCAACTGGGGATAAAACTATTTCTTATAACAGTTGTGTTACTCAAGTGTTTTTTGCATTCCTACTTGGAGCATCAGAGTTTTATCTGCTGGCGGCTATGTCCTATGACCGCTATGTGGCCATCTGTAAGCCCCTGCATTACACAACCATCATGAACAGCAAAATCTGCATACAGCTTCTCCTCAGTTGTTGGCTTGCTGGCTTTTTTGTCATCTTCCCACCACTGCTCTTAGACCTGAATCTTGAATTCTGTGCCTCCAACATTGTGGACCATTTCTACTGTGACACCACCCCTCTCCTGCAGATCTCCTGCACAGACACTCACCTGCTGGAGACCATGGGGTTCGTCTCAGCTTTGGTGACACTCTTGGTCACACTGATAATGGTAATAATATCCTACATGCTTATTGCCCTTACAATTTTAAAAATCCCTTCAACCAGTCAGAGGAAAAAGGCATTTTCCACATGTTCTTCTCATATGATTGTAATATCTCTTTCATATGGCAGCTGCATCTTCATGTATGTGAAGCCATCAACCAAAGAAAGAATATCTTTTTCCAAAGGAATTTCAGTTCTCAATACCTCAGTGGCTCCACTTTTGAACCCTTTCATCTATACCTTGCGAAATCAGCAAGTGAAAAAAGCCTTTGTTGATTTGGTTCGTAGGGTTGTCAGTTTCTCCAGCAAATGATTTTTCTATTTCATTACATAAAGGAATACTTCCCTCTTTTTCTTTTTTCTTCCAATTCTTTGATAATTTGATATTCACTTCTACTTGTTTTTAACTAATTTTTTTCTCAAAAATATTTGTTCCAGTGAAGGTAATTTCTAATTCTTTAGTAAATGTATTTTTTTTTCTAGTTATCATCTTGTTTTTCCATCTGAAGATCTTTAGGCTAAGTTTTTAGTATGTGTTCTTTGTCATTTATAAGTTCCAGTTAGTCATGATTGTAAAATAATTTTATTAGAAATCACATCTTTTGTATCATAAAAAGTTATTATATTAACCTGCATTTTTGGTTTGTTAGATACTTAAAGCTAATATATATTTTTCTTTTCACTACATTGCCCATTTCAGTGGTGTAGCATTTTTGCCCTACCAGTCTCTTTGCATCATTGAAAGCTCTAAAATGTTCACTATTGTTGGTTTATTTGTGTGTATTCTATTTAGAGAAATGAAATAAAGACATGACAACATTTAACTACATTTTATTTTTCATATTTGAAATGTTATGCTAACAAAATGTGATTGTTGATTTTATACTAGATTTTGTAGAAATAGTAATTTATTGCTATGTGATAGAAGTACATTACAAATAATCATAGTTAAAAGAAAATGTGTTAATGTTTTTGGTTTACTTTGAAAGTTTATAATGAAGTGAAGTACTTAATTGATGTTCTCAAATTCCGGATGTTCTCTAATGTTCTCTTAAATAATTTAGGATATTCCTGAAAATAATTGGAAAAATCTGTGAATGATTATTAGAAATAAAATACTAGTAAGTCATATTTATTCTTTTCAAATATTATTTATCTGTTGTACATATGAGATCTCCATGTTTATCTTAACTGTAAATATATGTGTATATATACATGTATAAATACACATTTATAGATATCTCATAGTAAAACTGGGAAAATTAATGAATCCCATTATTTTCTTTAAAGAATTCTCCAGATGTAGATCAGTATCAATTTTTCTGAGAATGTAAAAAATGAAATACAATAAAATATTTTTTGCAAATACATATTGTATTTCATGAATGTTTTACAATAAATATGTGTGAGACCGTGTAATTATTTTTTCCATTATTTTGGATCTGCAATCCTATTTTGGAAGAAAATGTCTTTAAAAATGTATTCCTTGTTGGAACAGAATAAAATAAACCTAAAAGAAATGTCTCTCTTACTATATACAGGAGAAAATTATACATTTCTTTTGAATTCAGTTAGAATATGATTTTAAGTAGAAGAGTTATTTCAACAATTGATTGTATCTTTTCTTGTAATTCATTTTGCATTTTTAAAATTTTAGTTAAAGAAAGATTAAACAAAACAGAAAATAGGTAGAAATAAATACATACGTTCACAGAAAAAATAAAGTGAGAAATCACTAGTTGATGTTTACGTATCATCATTTTACAAATAATTGTTTATGATAAAACAATGGAACATGTAAAGTGAGAATTCAAACAGCGAGACTACAAACAGTTCTGTTCTATCGTCCAACAAAAAGTTAGTAATATGGTTGTCAATCCTATACACTTAAACATACAAGCAGTTATCCATATCTTCAATTATGTTTAGAGTGAACAAACTAAAGTAGGTTAAAATCATTCTGAACAAAGAACAATAGTATTGCTGGATTTCACATCATGATATTCTATGATCAGCACTGGGTAGTGTAGTGTCTTTTTTTAAATTTAGTTTAAAGAAAGACTAAATGAAACAGAAAACAGAAATGATACGTAATTTCAAAGAAAAAATAAACAGTAAGAAATCACTAGTTGATGATTACAGATTGTCTTCTTACAAATAGTTATTCAAGATACTAAAGTGGAGCTTATAAAGAGAGGATTCAAACAGTGAGATTGCAACCAATTCTGTTCAACTATCCAACAAAAACTTAGAAATATGATTATCAACCCTATATACTTAAACATACATGCAGTTATCTATCTCTTCAATTATGTTGAGATTGAATAAACCCAAGCAGGCTAATACCACTCTGAACAAAGAATAATACTATTTCTGGGTTTCACATTATGACACTCCAGGATCAGCACTGGGTATTTTAGTGTCTCTTTTTCTTCAAAGTATCTGTTCATTTCATCATGTGTCATATGATCAGTTCTTATGCACTGTTTATAAATTCTACACATGCATGAGTCTTAACATGTATTTCTATCCTTACTATATCAGAGGGAGAAACAAAACAAAGCAAAGCAAAACAAACAAACAAAAACCATATTCCTATAAACACATGAAATGAAATAAACATATAAGACCATTGTACAGGACTGGGGATTTATCTCAGCAGCATAAGCACCTGCCTTGCAAGCATGCAGCCATGAGTTCGATCCCTGGTACCAATAAAAAAGGAAAAAGACAAAAAAAAAAAAAAAGACCATTGTACAAATCATTCTACCATAGTTCCTGGGTTCTCTTTTGTTATCTCCAATAAATTGGCTATATCACCAGACATAGTATAATTGAATATGTCACTACATAACAGTATTAATAAAAACACAACCTTGTATATAGTATAGAACTTCAAAAACCAACAGTTATCAAACCAGAATGTGTATCATTGAGTCTTGTCATCTTCAGTGTAGGTGCCTATACTCTCAGACTATCAGTTATATCAGCTTTGAATAAAATCTTCTCTGCCTCATTTCTATTATGCTCTTTTTTTTGCCATTAGTTGTCTGCTTATCTTCTTCATTCTGCTTTTTGCTCCATTCATTGAGGCCTCTCTGCCACTGTTCCTGGAGTCCCAGTACTTTTCTCTCTCTCTAGAATGCCATGGAGTATTCTCTGTAGTGTTGGATTGGTGGTTGCAAATTTCCCAAGTTCCTCTGTGTTTTGGAAGCATCTTGTTTCTCCATTAATTTCTAGAGACAGTTAATCAGAGTGTATCAATCTGGGACGGAGGTTATTTTCTTTCATGGCTTGGAATATTTCACTCCAGGCTCTTCTTGACTTGATGGTTTGTGTCAAGAAATCTGCCATTATCTGAAGGGCCTTCCTCTGTAGGTGATCTGTTTCTTGTCTCTAACAGCTTTTAATATTCTGTTCTTATATTGAATTTCTAGGATCTTGATTATTTTCTGCTGGGTGTAGCTCTGTTTTGGTTGTAGGTGGCTAAAATTCTGTATGCCTCATATATCAATATAGCATTTCCTTTTCCTATGTTTGGGAAGTTTTCCTCAACTATTTTTGTGAATAATCTTTGTAGTTCCTTTGTTTGTATCCCAGCTTCTTCATTTACATTCTTTATTCTCAAGTTATAGAACCTTTTGACATCTTCTAGCCTGTGTATTGTTACGGCTTCTTTCCTTGTTATTTTTTAAAATTTTTCCCTTTCATACTCTCACATTGCAAAATTGTCCTCCAGTTTGGATAATCTATCATTAGTCTCTTTCAAGCTGATTTGCCATCTTTCCATTGAGTTTTTAATTTCCTGGTGATCTCTTTGAATCTGCTTCATGTATTCTATATTTTGTTTATATTCTTCACCAAATGGTTCTCTCCTGTGTTTGAGTTCCTCCTTTCTTCCATCTGTGTCTGCTTGAGGGGTGCTTAGTATCTCTTTTATTAATCTTCTTATATCTTGCTTTATTTGGCTAAATATTTCATGTTTAAACTTATCTGTGAGGTTCCAAATATATCTCTTTATGTCCACTGGTGGTGTGTCTGATATGCATGTTTGCAGTTCTCATTCTCCTTTGTATTTACCTGTTCTGAGTCAGTGTTCTCAGGGTTGTGGTCTCGGTACTTTTGTTATTGCTTCCTCTTCCCATCTTTTTTACTTCTCCCAGGAGGTCCCAGTTTCTTTCTTTGTTGGTTACAATTCTTCTGAAGTGCACTGGCTAGATGACCTTTCACACTGCAGTGTGCTAGTGAGTTGCAGACAGGGACAGCAAATGCCAGCCCCTCCCCTCCAGATCAGTCAAGCTTCTGTGGCCTGCACTACTGTATTACTTTGTGCCACCTCCCCTCCAGACCAGCCAAAACTCCGAGGCCCCACTGGGCCAGTATGCTTAGTGTGTGCCACCACTGCAGAGACTTGACCTCAGATAACCTATTGGGTCTCAGCCGGGTCACATAACTCAGGCCTAGCTCACTCTACCAATCCTGTTCAGGAAGGGAACAATTGACTGAAGTCACTCCTGTCCTTTGTACTTGCCATCCTGCCCAGTCCCAGAATGTCATCTGCCAGAGCCCCCCTATTTATGGAATGGCTTCACTCCCATCACTCACCACAGGTCGATGTAGGCTCCCCAGCAACTCACCTCTCTGTGGGGCTCACTGACCCTCAAACTCAATGTAACTGTGCCTCCAGTAAGTTGAAGTGGTGGGACCTTGAATGGCTAGGCAAGTTGCAAGGAGACCCCGGCAGGTCACGGTGGGACCTTGGCCAGTCAGGGCGAGGCCCCTGCAAGTTGCAGCAGGACCCTGGCAAGGCATGGCAGGACCTCAGCCAGTAGCCACAGGACCTCGGATGGTCGACAAGTCACCTTAATTTCTTCTTGGGATGAGAGAATTCATCTCCCTCTGTTTGGGGCTCCCCACTCTGTATTATGTTGAATTCTAAGTGGACTAACTCAGGGAGCTTCTGTAACCAGTTGTTATCTATCTTGCCATCCTTTGGAAAACTCTCATTTTGCATTTTGATAAAGTACATGTAATAATCCTAAAACATGCTCTAAATTTTAGAAATGTTGCCAGTGTAGGGCTGGGGATTTAGCTCAGTGGCATAAGCACCTATCTTGCAAGCAGGCGGTCATGAGTTTGATCCACGGTACTGATAAAAAGTTAAAAAAAAATGTTACCAGTGTAGAAAATAAAAATAAGTGCCAAGCATTGTGAGACTACATAATAAAAGTAAATGCTACCTAGAGACTCACTAGTTCTGATTTTGTTAGACGTGAGAATCAGTTTGCTCAAAACATACTGCTCATGTTAAAT